TGTTGTTGCTATTGTTATTGTTGTTGTTGTTGCTGTTATTGCTGTTGTTGCTGTTGTTGTTGTTGCTGTTGTTGTTGTTGCTGTTGTTGTTGTTGCTGTTGTTGCTGTTGTTGTTGTTGTTGTTGTTGTTCTTGTTGATGCTATTGTTGCTTTTTTGCTGCTGTTGCTGTTGTTACGGTTGTTGCTGTTGTTGTTGTTGTTGTGGCTGTCGTTACCGTTGCTGCAGCTGTGACAGTTTACCGATGGTAAAAATGAATAATGGAACAAATGGTATCTTTTGAATAGTTTGTTCCTTGGTGCTATGTCGGAACTGTGTTAACTCGAATGTTCAAATTTTATTGACGAAACAAAACAAAAAAAACCACCTCCCCTAAGAACCAAAAACACTGTCTAAGATTGTTACTGTCAGCACTAAAATGCAATCAAATTTTGTCAAAGCGTGCCTATTACCTGAGCGCATTATGGAGCAATCTGACTATATAGGCGACAAAACATCCTTTGTTTAGCGAGGTTCTACGTCCCAATCGCCGCTCCAATTAAATGACGCAGGTGTTTTCAAGTCTTTAAATAGTGCAACAATATAAAACAGCTTTCAGTTGTTCCAGTCTGACCTCGCTATCTTTAGGTTGTTTTTGAATTATTCTCATGCTTACCATGCTCTGGGTCGTGAGCTGTTATAGGTTTTGTATGGGTGATAATTTCTTTGTTCTTTGACTCGTCAAATGAAATCGGTAGAGAAAGAGACCTCATGGAGGATCGGAATATAGTGACGTATTTTTAGCAGCGGAGGTCGACCGGAGGGCACGTGAGACTCAACGGATCATTGATAATAATATTATGTCGCTCTTTTGAAAGGTGATTTGAAAGTGAACTTTTTCGGAGATTTGTCGCTTGAATGTATATTCAATGTTATATAACTTGTATAAAAAAGTATCAGGACTATTTGGTTGCAAAAAGTCGTTTTTCGTTTTGAAAAAAAAATGAAATGAGTTCTCGAGGTTTCATTAGAACTCTGACGCTATTATTTCCCGTTATTTGAAACAAATTGACACTTCTGAAGATGTGCCGCTCTTTTGAATGGTGAATTGAAAGCATGTTTTCGAAGATTTGCAGCTTGAATCTAAATTTAATCTTATATAACATAATATATAGCGAAGTATCAGGACGAGATTCACCAGAACTCCGACGTTATTATTTTGCATTATTAGACACATTGATAATACAGAAGATTCATTCCTTTTACTGCCGTTTCAGCCACCTCATCTTTGCTTAAAACGGTAATAATATTTGGACGTCATCAGCGAAGACATAGTAAACGCCTGGCAAAGATGCCGCAGGGAAATTGTGTTGTGCAAGTGGCACTCAGTCATATGGAGCAGTTGGATCGCCTGCTCTTACAAGATTGTTTTTAACATTCTGTGTGCGTTTGTTTAAAGTAAAAAGAAACATATAAGATAAGAAAAGATAAGAAAAGATAAGATAAGATAAGAAAAGATAAGAAAAGATAAGATAAGATAAGATAAGATAAGATTTTATTATCCTAGAGGGACATTTTTCTCGGCTGTACAGGTCCGTTAAAACACATGCAGGTATACGCCCAAAAAAATTAATTAAATTATAATTATATTACTCTCATTAAAATTCAATATGTAAAGAGAAGTAAAGCTAACAAAATGAAAAAATCACATCAGATGCATCATTCAACCACATGCAGGGATTTAATTACAAGATCTTAAATAGATACATACTCTAAAGAGCATTGACTTATCAGTAACGCCCTTTAGGAGAAAAAAATAGAATAAAGAGAGGGAACTTTTTTTGGTAAGTATTTTACTGCTTTTGTAACTGCGTAATCTCATAAGAGAGCACGGGACATATTAAACATTTTTTATTTCATTAGAAATTAATTTTGAATTTTGCCTGTGTGGCAGCGGAAGATTACTCTTAACGATTTCGGACCACCAGAGGATCCTTAACGTGGGCAACGTGTACACGGGACCTCCTAGATTTTTAGTGCTTCTCCGAGGAGGCTAGGACTTAGATCTTATCTACCCTAAGACAAGGAGAGTGGCTGAAAGACAGCAGTTAGAAGGAACCAAGGGGTAGCAGTAGAAAGGTTGCAAAAAGAGTCAGGAGCCCAGAGGAGGGGGCAAATGGGCGTGGGGGGCAAAAATAGAGACAAAAGCAGGCGACAGAATATGGTTAGAGAGCAGGAAAGTAGGAGAAAGGAGACAGATTTTAGAGAAGAAAATAGTTAATCCCTATCGGGTTTCGAACCCAGGACCTATTGAATAAGAGGCTAACACACACACACACACACACACACACACACACACGCACACACACACGCACACACACACACACACATAAACTAACACCCTCTCACTCACACACACACAGGCACTCACACTCTCACACACACATGCACACACCTACATACTTATACCCCCCCAACACACACACGCACC